ACAAGATCGTCATGAAGAAGTTCCATGCGTATCCTCCGTACAGTTTTTTCTCCTAAGGAAGCATTTTTTTCGTTATTTACAAGAGTAACGAAACTAGAAGGGGTCCCACTGGATATAAATAATTTGTTTTGATGTAAATACAGTAGTATGGGGATGGCTAAATATTGATTTATTGCTACGTAATAGCAAAAAACATAATATAAATGAATCAAAGATTATGGACCATTTTGTAGCAGGATACCTCTGTAGCTATCATGTTTAATTCATTAATGCTGTATTAATAGGTTGGTTAAACCGCATTGTGTTTTAAGGTTTAATGTGATTAACCTGGGCAGCGTTTGATAAATTAAGCAATGTATTTAAATCGGACCTACCTATATGATTCAAAAAGAAAATCTGACCAATGTATGTTACGTATGAGGCGAAAACATTAACAATAGCAAAAAAGGTAGTGAATAAAATGCGCGTGACTCAGAAGGCTATGGAGCACCAGGTGTAGGGCGTCTCTCTGAGAAATTGAATCTTAAACGAAGAAATAAGTCGTAGAACAAAAACAACAGACGCTATCGAAAAAATCGCGTGGATAAAGTAAAATTGGACAGGACACAAGACAGAGAGATGGAAAGAGCTGAAAGAGATCTATGTACAGCACTGGACGCATACAGGTTGATGATAATGATACTCAGCTTTGCCTATTTTGGTTATTGTTTATTTGACGTTTTGACTTCCAGCTCACCAATCGTTTTCAAAATATAAATAAAAAGATACAAAATTAGCGCAATATTAAATTTACTTTTATAAGAACCTTCGACCACATTAAATGACAGAATAACCCTATGGAGATATTATTAATAGAGGTAAATAAAATGGAAAATGTAGACCAAATAATGTAACAATATGGAAAAACTTAACAAATGAAATCAATTGCTGTGGATATCTACATTAATCGAAAAAAGAAAATAGAGGAAGAAAAAGTTTTAGTAGCGAAAAGAAACTAAAAAAATAGTAAATAAGTATATATACATAAAACAAAATCTCTGAAGTCTCCGAAGGCTTTAAAACTGACAGGACCAAATGTTTATTTTAAAGATTAGTTAAATACAGGTATAAACAATTTATAAATAATTACCTACCACTTTTACATGTGAAAATTATGTCCCACTTACACTCTCGAGATTTCTATCAGCTAAGATTATTAGACACTTTGTTTGACTTACGTTCTAGTATAAACAACATGCAATAATGTCGTTGCGAAAACCTGTAGGCCAGTGTTACATGCAAAATGGGTCTGCGGAACCGTGTGAGAGAACTTAACAAGCAGTAATGGTTAATAATGTTATTAAATAAGAAGGAAATGGATATAAGAATCATTGCAGATAGTTTAAGACATTGTAATTACATTCGAGCTCATCTTTAAATACAATTTTGGTTTAAAACACATTAAACGTGGGAGGGAAAAGTTTCATTTTTGTTTCTTAACACTCTTGGCACCCTTTTGCGAGTTATGTAAATGTTTACTCTTAGTCCATAATACGTAATTTATTTTTGGCCAGTGTTTCTTATCATGTGGCCGTAGCACACTAGTTTGGACATACAGCATACTCGTCGTATTAAATTCATATCTACTGTTTCAACTGCAAGTAATTTGCCAGCTTCAAGGTTCATATCTTACGATAGTCTGCAAAATGGATTTGTATATTGTCATCTTTATTTTTGTATTTATTTCTTGTGACCATATAAATCTCTAAATTTTGGCCAACAATACAAAATCATAGCAACAAATACTTGGCTTAAAGTATTTAAAGTCCACGTAGTTCATACACTTGTACTTCTCCATTGCACACAAAAGACAGAATAATAAGGAATCAAATAGACAAAATATATTTTAATTAACCAGAGATGTCGTAACCCCATCACCCATTAACCCCAAGGTAATAAAAATGCAAAGCCGAAGATCAAACCTAACAGGGGTCCACTAAAAAGCACAGATCAAAAATAAAACTACTTTTCAGCTAAACTAAAAACTATCAGAAATAGTACGGACACGAATAACTAATCAAAATATAAATATATCATGGGAAAAAATCAAATACATTCTGATCAATACAATACATCAAAATATAAAAATAAGAACACAATAGAATACCAAAGTTTAAAAAGGAAAATACGACGGAAAATAACAGAAGTAAATAAATAATGGATAGAAGTAAAATGTAAAGAAATTGAAGAATATAAAAGAGACATATTTCTATTAATAGGTACAAGGAGGTGAAAGATATAATCAATAAAAAAGATTTGGCCCTCTCGTAAATAATAATGGACAGTTAATTTGTAATACCAAAGATAGAATACAAGAATGGGAAAAATTTCACAAGAGCTATTCCGGAATAAAAGAATGGACATTACGATAAATAATTCTAATGCAAGCTCACCAATTTTAAAGTCGAGGTGGAATATGCCATTAAACAACTAAAAACCAACAAGAGTCCTGGGCCTGGCGAAGTTTACCCTGAGATATTCAAACTGATTAGAAATGTTCATAAATCCTATTTTGGATTCTACGATTTGTTTGGCCTATTTAGGATCGGTCACAGTCTGCACAAGGGGAGTTTATGAAATTCCTTGTGCAGACTGCCCTTGATCCTATATAGGCCAAACAAATCCTAGAATCCAAAATAAGATATATGAACATTCCATTTCTGTTCGCAATTCCGATTCAATTTCAGCTCTAGGTTAACACCACCTTCATATAGATCACAAAATTAATTTTGGAGACTCCAGAACCATAGCCCCCATCCGCTTCTATAAACCAAGAATTATCCGAGAAGCCATAGAAATTAAAAAAAAGACCAAATTGTCTTAATAGAAGAGATGACGGCATACGGTTACCTTCTACATTGAGACCTCTCATAAAGAAAATATCGTCCCCTCCATCCTCGAATCAAAATCCCAATGTCGGAAATTTTCGCGCCAATACCCGCGCCAAACCCCACGCTAACCCCTACCTCGCTACACCCTATTATGTCAATGTCATCGCGTATACTAAGATTTGTATCGATCTATTGTAAATAGTTCCGCCGTCTCTAATTCGTGTGTCTCGAACTGCCTTTTCCAAGTCAATGTTATATAGGAGGCAAACTAGGACATCTCTTTGTCTGAGTCCATCTTTTATCTCAAAAAATCGAGAATTTTCTCCCTGTATCCTAACACTGGCTTTTAAGTTAAACAATATCATTATCGTTAATCGGAGTTAATCTGGTATACCAAATTAACGTATTGATTGATATAGTACTGTTCTCTTGACACTGCCATATGCGGCCTTGTCATAAGTCAACGAATAGGTGATGGGTTTCGATGTTAAATTTTAATGTTTGCTCGAGGATCTGTCGTATTGAATGAATTTGGTCAATTGTTGATTTTTCTGGAGTGAATTCGGCCTGGTATTTTCCAACTATGCGAACTGTGTAAACTTTAGCCTTTCGTAGAGAATATTTGCTAGTATTTAGTAAGCAGTTGTTAACAGGGTTATACCTCTGTACTGTAGTTGTCACACAGGAGCTGATCGCCTTTATTATGTAACGGGCATATCACGCCTTGAGACCATTCACAGGGCATGGTCTCATTTTACCAAACAAGAAGTAAAAGTTTATGCAGTGCTTGTCAAACTCAAACCAAGATTAAAACTTGTACCTATGGAGTCGATACATTGATTCAACATATAAGGAGTCTGAATAAGTAAGAGGAATTTACGATGTGGGTATACTGGAGAATTTTAAAAGTTCTTTGGACTGCACTAAAAACAAATGAGTTCTAACAAAAGCTACAAGTAGACTAAATGTAGAAAAACAACGATTGAGAACGATTAAAATTAGAAAAATCAGATTTTTGGGAAATGCAAAGTACTACAGTCCTTAATTTATTGATCATTATTTATTGAGCATTATAGATATATTGATCAATCAAGCGTAATATAGAGGGAAAGTATTGGAAGAAAAAAATTGTTCCGGTTGCGTAATATTAAAAACTAGATAGGACTAGACTTTGAAGAACCTATATGTACAGCTGAAGACAGAGAAATGTTTGCTACCATAATCGTTAACCATCAATAATGGGGAAGACACATGAAGAATAGGCAGGAACAAATATTTTATTTATAAAGGACCTTCTTCCCTCATTTTTTTACCTTTTATTTTATCACTATATTTTAATATGTTTCAAATCTTCTTTTTATCACTTGATTGCATAATGTTCCCAGACAATTGACTGCACATATTTCTTTCTATTTTCTGTATTCTTCTTGTTTCGTTTTTTCTAAACTGATGTTCTGTGTGCTACTTCTACAATACGTGCAGTGCTCACCAACTCATAATCTTTATTCAAATAATTTCTAACTGAAGCAAAATATTATCTTCTACTTGCTATTTTGAATAATTTTACATTTTTTAAAATATAATTTCTTTATAAAATAATAATTGGAAAACACCAATATATTTGTCAATCTTATACCAAATCTGTCAAAGTTATACCAAGATTTTAACAATACTCAACCATTACTCTGTACGAAATTTCCCGATAAATTTTTGCCGATAAGTTAATCATGTTAATGATATATTTACTATTTAAAATTGGTATATATGAGATGAAATAGTCAAAAGCACAAAAAGCTGATCAGTTAAAAAACAAAACTTGGGATAATGATACAAAATGGACATTAAACATCACAACACATTGCACAAAAATACACAACAAATCTAAATCTTGTATCGTAAATGATTTTTTTGTATATACCTATTTAAAATTTATAAAGTGTATTAACTATAAAAAAATTCACAGTGGTTGGCTTTATACCATAATTTAAAAAACCTTAGAAGCAACTATAAAATTTCTTGTGTAATTGGTATCTTTAATTTAGAATAAAAATAGCCACACGGATTTTGAAATTATTTAATCCATTTGGATACTTTTATTATAAATGAAATGTACCAGTTACACACGAAGTTTTAGACTTCCTGTAAGTTTTTTAGGATTCTTGTTCAAATTCAATACGATACACGATTTTTTAAAATAACCAACATCATTGACAAACGGCAAAGACTTACCTTGGTAGGAGGACTGGTGGAAGCGGGTGATACGATTCCATGATCAGATGGTGCTTGGGGTCTTTTTGGAGCCATTCTAGCTGCTGAAGCACCTGAAATCAACAAATAACTTTAGTTGGTTAGGTTAAATGGAAATAATTATTTTATCAACTAAAGTAATACACTATAATATATTTTATAAAATACTTTAAAAAATAAAATCGCTCTATCATACATTTGACCTCCAATGTTTATCAAATATTAATTAAGAGATTGTACTATATATTAATATAATATGTGGATTTAAAAAAAAATAATAATTTGTTTATTGTACTAATCACTGCAAATATAATTATTTACATAGGTATTTATAGAAAAAGTTTAATTTTAATGATTAATATTATCTGGTTCATTTGTTATCACCATATAAAGCTTTACATCTCCCAGGAACGTTCATTATCAATTTTTCCATAAAATCTTTTAATAAATCATTGACCAATTGCTCAAATGTATCTATTGATCTTTGGTCTCTAATACCCCTTCCTAAATAGTTCTAAGCATGCTCTATAGGATTTAGATCATGGGAACATACAGGCCAACATTCCCTATAAAAAGAAGATATTTTATGACTCGTTGGGAAAATTGCACAACAATGTGTAAAATAACAATCATTATAATCGTTACGCAGCCTGTAGTATCCACTGTTGAACATACCACTCGCAATTGACACAAGTGCTCCCGATCTTGTGCTGTGTAAATCCAGTTTGTGGTAATCATCTTTATATTGTCTGTCCACCGAGTCGGAGGTCTTTATCTACTTCTACATGCTTAAATTCTAGGACGAAACTTCATTACGCGTTAAGTCCAGCAGGCTAATCAAACATCGATCGGTCCATGCCTGATTGAACCACTCTGATTACTTCCACAGATTTTTTAGTAAGTGTTAAGGTTCTGCACATTAGTCAATACTTGGTGCACACGTTGTTTAAAAACCTTCCTTTTCGGACAAATCTGTACACTGGTTTTAGATACCGTACTTCTTAATCTGCCCAAAGCAGTCCACGCTAATTTTTGATTTGATTAGCGTTATACTAGGTGCTCTGTTATTTTCAATTCTTATAACGTGACGCGTCCAGCGCAATCTTTTGAGGTACATCTATTTTGGGATAAGGAGATTCCATATTTAATATTTGCAATGTTGCCAGATTTGCCGTTTCTCTTATATTATTAGTAACTTTGGTTCTTCAAATTCAACCCCTTGTATATTCAGCATGCATCGAGCAAAAAGACAAAAGAGGGAGAAAGAGAGGGAGAGGGAGGTTATGAAAGGGAGACCAAAAAAGTGGCCTCTTCCACAGTTCCGGACTTATCCGGAAATGCGAATGCGCCAAATTTAAGTTTTCCGACACTTATTAACAGTAGCTATAAAATAGTTTTCAGAATGTGTCTTAGACGAGAAACTTAAAATAAATATTAACGATAACAGTCTAAAATGTGACAAAATTGTTAAAAAACTTCAATATAAGTAAGACTTCATGTGACAGTTGGGACAAACAATAACATAACCCAACTAAATTTGATTTTTTAAACAAGGAAAGGCTCTCTTTCCTTGTTTAAAGTGGCCTCTCAAGACGGCACTTCCTGTCTAACAATATTTTTTGCCCCCACTACCTTTACATTCCCTCTTTTGTCTTTTTGCTCGATGACTATATGTAACACTCATGAGTTTATGTACGTTGTTTAGACAACAGTGAATGCTTGTAATTTAATATAAACTTTATGGAATAGCAATGAAGTTCAAATTGATTCTACATTTAGTTAGAAAATATTTGTATGGAAAAAAGAGCTGTTTTAGTGTTTTCTCGGAAATTATTCGAATTTTTCATGCGGTAAAAACCACCCTTAGACTTCAAGGAACATTAAAAAAAAAGAATTGTTAAGATTGGTCCATGCGTTGTTGAGTTATGCGCCTACAAACACATTTTGCGATTCATTTTTATATTATAGATGTCTATTATCAGTATGTGAAGTTTCATGTACTCGACGTCAAAACTTTCACAGATCTGTCATTTTTATGTCGACTGCCATGAGTACATTTTTCGCCAAATAAACAAAAACATTTGTATTGTTCTGAAGCTATTTTCTTGTGGCATTTTAAATTAATTACTATTTAACTGGGAATAAGCCACAATTAAAGATAAAAATACGTTTATTGACGTTTCAATTTCCATTTCGGAAATCGTTCTCAAAATACAAACAGTAAATTTACTTTCATGGACTGTTCAGCAATAGTCCAGTCTTCGTTTTGTAGAGGCGCAACAGATTCTGTAGCTGAACTATTTAAAACTACCAATGTTTATATGATTGAATTTTTCATCTGTAAAATTCTCTTAATCATATCAAATGTGTATCTACATCATTTTTTAATTTTAGTGATGGTATATCCATTCGCTCTGCTCACTTTCAATTAAGCTAATGCATGGCTACTCGGTCGGAAATAGCTTACAATATTTTTTACCGAATCTCTTCTTCTTTCTCTCTCTTTCTCACCTTATGTGATCCTTTGATTGTCAGTTTTCTCGAGGCTTATCTATCTACAATCGCTCTTATCACTTTGATTTAGTTTATATCTCACGAAAATATCGCATATTTTTCTCCATAATTTTTTTCGCACTTCTAGCTTTTTCTGCAAATCTCCCGACTGCTGTAAAAAACTGGCAACGTCGCAATATATCTAACTAGTTCATTAATCAAACTACAAAAAACACATTTTGAGTTTTCAACCTGTCTGATCTATTATCGTGTTGTGTCCTTTGTTCTAAAAAGGTTTTATTTGAGAAAAGATCAACTCTCGGTCAGTCTTGCACAGCTAAATGCAAAACAGATGTAACAGCTTAGGGAAGGTTTCAAACGTTCACGGAGTGTCAATGGCTAACTGTGTTATATGTTATATGACACAAGATTGTTGACACACTGGGTTGATACAATAAGCTGTGTCAGTGTTGCTGTATGAACACCCAAAAATTTAGTTAGTGCTTCAAAGAGTCAAATGAGATTTGACTTTGAACGATCTAGTTTATAAACTTTATTACAATACTGACACATAACTTCAAGGCCTGCTGTAATATTATTTTTCTTAGATGGCTTGTCATAAACAACTAAAGACAATTTACCGACAAAATGGAAAAAATAAATATATTATTTTAATTTACACAGATGAGATGGGTAGTTCTCAAAAGTAAGTTCACAGTTCGAGATGGATACATATGCCTTCAGCTTCAGATAGAGAAACATTTAAGGATAAAAGGGAGGTTTACGACACAAATAGGTTTTCTCAAAGATTATAGATTGATAGAACATTAAATTTCATACCAATTCGGAGTAGGAATTCAATAGTAATTAGTAACGGCAAAATTACGGGGATAATATAAATAACTTGGTATTATTCACAATAGACAATACACAGAAAAGGAACTTAATAAACACTAGGCGCGGTTTCGTAAGACCTACCAAAACAGGTCCATAATATTTTGTCCCAAACATAGAATTATATAGCCATTATCATACTAACCTGATTTTTATTTTTAACACTAATGTGCACTATCAACCCACACATAAAATGACATTACAGAAAACAACGGTCAACTAATGAATAAAACTAAGTCACGAGATAAAGTGCTGTACGTATGCAGAATTAGTCAGTTTGTGCGAACAACCGGATATAACATAGATAATGGACGGTCGTGTTCATTGTTGATCCACATTTTTATTTACTTTTGTTCAATCAACTCATAGTTCGTAATACCTACCGGATATAGTTTATTGTCTATAAATTTTGATGTCCTTCCAACTTAGAAAAGTTAAAACAAATTGGCTAACGACCACAAAAAAATATTTAGTTCATGATATATAATTCAAATGGTTTTTAAATTACTTAATTAGTGTAGCGTTACTTTCAATAAAAAATTATATACACGCATTTTTCTAGAATATTGTATGATAACAATACTTTCAAGGCAGCTATGTTTTCTGAAACAATTTCCTTTTTCTAAAAATTACCTAATTTAAATTTAGTAATCTTCAAACGCATGATTTTTTTATGATAAAAAAACTTCTAAATAAAACCAAGTTATATAAATTGACATAATTGGGGGTTGATTGCAGACCCAGCTATGTTCCAGCTACAATCTCTATTTAGGAAAATGCAGTCTTCAGTATGCGTCTGCCTTTAGTAAAAGACACTCAATTCGGAAAACATCCGATATTTTTTACTGAAAATGTTCCATTTTGATTAGTAAACGATAAAAACTAATTGAAACGTTGACGTTTCAAGTGTGCACATAAGTGTGACAGATTCCTTTTTTAAACCCTTTAAATCAAATGCTTTAAAAATAAAAGAAAAATCAAAATCAAATTTCAAAAAAGTTTAACTTCTTAGATCGTGTAGTCCCTATAATATTACAAGCTTTGGATCAATTAAATATCTTTAATTTATTAAAGGAGTTATAATAAGAGAAGAGAAAAAAATGTTCCCTCGGCAGTGTATTCTTCAAAAAGTTTTGACATTGGTCATTCAGGCAGATTTTCATCATTTCCAACACTGTTTTACAGGATGCGATACAACTTCAGCATTTTATAATAAAGGTGAAACTGTTTTTTGTGACTATGCCAAAGCTTTTGATTGTGTAAATCACGATATTTTGATAAAAAACTAAATTTCTAAGGAATTTGGGCATTTCTTTGAATTGGTTCCAGTCTTACTTGAGGAATAGGAAACAACTACACTTGGGTGCAAAACAATCGACTCAAAAGCAATATTTGAACACCTTCTGTCTCAATGTAAGACGTATGAAAATCAAAAGATGTAATGTGCAAACAATAACTTTATTATTGAACTTACAAAAACTGATATTGCATTATTTGGAAGACGCATTATAGAAACAATATGCTATACGAACAGAGTTTCCCAAATATTTATATTTGGAACTAACCCAGAGAAATCATCAATTACAAAATGATTTTTTTTGTTTTCAGTATTTGATATTACCACTCCTACTCCTAATTTCACTTTCCAATATTTTTCGCATGGATCGGATGACTCTTCTAATAAATT